CACAGCCCGTTCTCCAACGCAGCGTCAGCAGGGAGTCGCTCAACGACACCACCGAGACAGGCGCCCTTTGGGCCGAGTCGGTATCCAAAGAAGTGTTTGACAGCCTCGACGACACCGAGCGCAAGCGACAGGAAGCCATCAATGAGGTTATCTATACTGAACGCGATTTTGTAGCCGACATGGAGTACTTGCGGGATCGGTGGGTCAAGCCGCTGCGCACTTCTGACATCATCCCTGAAGATCACCGCGAGGACTTTGTCACCCAGGTTTTCTGGAACGTTCTCGAGATCCACGCTGTCAACGCCAGGCTGGCCGAAATGCTCACCAAACGACAGAAGCAGGCAGATATAGTCGACAGAATCGGTGACATCTTGCTCGAGATGGTACCTCACTTCCAGCCCTTCGTCAAGTACGGTGCTCATCAACTGTACGGAAAGTACGAGTTCGAGAAGGAGAAGTCGTCCAATCCAGCCTTTGCCAAGTTCGTCGATGAGACAGAGCGTCTTCCGCAATCACGCAAGCTTGAGCTCAACGGCTATTTGACCAAACCCACGACGCGACTTGCACGATACCCCTTGCTGCTTGAGCAGGTGAACAAGTATACCCCGGAAGAACACCCAGACAAGCAGACGGTCCCCAAGGTGATCAAGATTGTCAAAGAATTCCTCACCAAAGTCAATGTAGAGACGGGTAAGAGCGAGAATCGGTTCACTCTCGCTCAGCTCGATCAGCAGCTGGTGTTCAAGCAAGGCGAAGCTGTCGATCTGCGTCTGCGAGACGAACAGAGAGAGCTCGTCTTCAAAGGCCCGCTCAAGAAGCGCGGTGGAACCCAAAGCGAAAGCGCGGAGCTTCAGGTGTTCCTCTTCGATCATGCGTTGCTGATGGTGAAGCCGAAGATGGTCAACAAGCACGAGCTCTACAAGGTCTACCGCAAGCCGATCCCGCTCGAGCTGCTGATCGTGACGGTCTACGACGAAGTTCCAACAGGCAAGGGAAGCTCCACACGGCCCAAGTCGGTCATGTCGCGCACTTCGATAGGAACGCGCTACAGCGGCACGCCGGGAACAGCACCCAAGCAGGACGCCAAGACTGGCTATGCCCTCACCTTCGCCTACCTCGGCAAGAAGGGTTACTCGATGACGCTATGGGCAAGCACGTTCGTCAGCCGCAAAAAGTGGTTCGAGAACATTGAGTCGCGACAGGAGATCCTCCGACAGCGCAGCAACATCTTTGATACCATCACGCTTTCCGAGAACTTCTTCTTGGGACCCAATCGTGTCAACTGCTCGGTGCCGTTCGACTTTGGTCGCCGCATCATCTATGGCACTGACGACGGTGTCTATCTGTCAGATCTGCGCGAAAAGGCAAGACCGCCGACGAAAGTTCTGCCATTGCCGGGTGTCACGCAGGTGGATGTGTTGGAAGAGTACCAGATCCTCATCGTGCTCGCAGAGAAGTCGGTGCACACTTTCACGCTCGATGCTTTGGACCCTTCTGATCCGATGGGCTCGTTGAAGCGCGGTCGCCGCATCTCTTCGCATACATCCTTCTTCCGTGCCGGTATCTGTCTAGGACGCACATTGGTCTGCGTGGTCAAGTCGAGTTCGCTCTCTTCGACAATCAAGACATTGGAACCGATCGAGCAGAACGTTCGAGGCAAAAAGCAGCCAACGTTCAAGAAGCTCTTGCAAGGTGGACAGGACTCTCTGCGTGTCTTCAAGGAGTTCTACATCCCCACCGAGTCGAGCTCGATCCACTTCCTCAAGACCAAGCTCTGCGTTGGTTGCACCAAAGGTTTCGAAATTGTTGATCTCGAGACGCTCGACACACAGGGCCTGCTCGATCCCGCCGATACATTACTCGACTTCGTCCATCGACGGAGAGCGTCAAGCCCATCGCGATCTACCGCATTTCAGGCGAATTCCTGTTGTGCTATGACGAGTTTGCGTTCTATGTCAACAACAAGAACGGTTGGCGTGCTAAGAGCAACTGGATCATTCACTGGGAAGGGAACCCGACTTCTTTCGCCTACCATCATCCATACGTCCTCGCCTTCGAGCCGAGCTTCGTCGAGGTGCGACATGTGGAGACAGGTGCACTGCATCAGGTCATTACCGGTGTCAACCTGCGATGCTTGTTTGCCGATGTACCACCACCGACGCCGAGCGTGCACCAGCAGAACGCGCAAGCAGTGGCAGCGATGCGAGCTAACTCGTTCAATGCAGCAGCAGCGATCATGGGTCCATATGGAGCAAGGCCAATGGTACCTCCACCTCTGCAGAACGGAATGGGACCACCAATGACGCCTTTCCCAGGAGCAAGGCCTGCGTTCGGTCCGAATGGGGCTATGGTGCCTCCTCCTGGCACGCCAGGCTTTGGGGTTGGGATGCGACCAGGTGGTCCACCGATGGCAAGGCCTGCTCCAGGTGCTTTCCCTGGTGTGCCGGGTGTACCAGGTGCGCCGCCGATGGTTCATCCCGCCGCAGCAGCGGGGACGCCATTCCCACCTCCTGCAGCGGTTTGCAGCAGCAAGGCCGCAGATGCCATACGCTTTCGGACAGGCTTCTACGCCCAGACCTCCTCCAGCGGTGCAACGCAACCCAGTATGGGAGTCTGTGGCTGCCAGCAGGAACCAGATTGTGTTCATCGGCGATACTACGGTGTTCTGCGTCCGATTGCACACGGATAAAGGATCGAGCAGTGGATCTGTCTCACCTTCTAGTTCGAGTATCAAGGGTTGAGGTGTTTCCCTCGGTGTTGTCTTGATGTTGATTCGTATTCTTTGTACATCCTACCTTTCATATATTACGCATGCAATCTTGCTTTTTCTCTCTTCTTTCTCGGCTTTGTGCGTGTGTCGAAAGAAGAGTGAGCTGGCGAAACTGGAAATGTGCGTTTCTGCTGACGTAACACAAGAGGAGATTCGGTTTTTCGTACGTGTGGATTAGAATTTTCAGTGCAAATGCTGAGATTCGGATTGGTCGCTTGTGGGAGTTGGATTTCTAGAAAGTTGACTCTCGTGCGGAATGGAAATGGTACGAAGAACGCGATCAGGTGGGTGTTGAAAAATGGTCGTCGCTATCAGCTTTGCCTTTGTTACTGCATCTTACACATCATTTTTCTATACACATCTGTTGGATCTGGCAAAGATGAGAACTTCTCAGGCAGCGTTTTCGGGTATGCCTACGGGCAAGAAATATGTAAGTCTTGCTCAAGTTGTTGCTGTTAATGATGGGGATGGATCGGAGGCGTGGATGGGTTGGCATTCGTGGTAGATTCAGTCGATTGGCGACGGGACGACATTTTGAAGTCAATGCAGGCAAGTTTAGTGTGAGAGGTAGTAAAGCATGGATGGGAGGATCAGAGTAGCGATACTTTTGTGGTAATGTAGTCGATGGTATAGTTTGCTGATAGTAGTTTTTTTTTTTTTGGTCTTCCTATCTCGTCTGCGTTCGTTACTGTATCAACAATCGCATTCCCGTCCTCGGACATGCACTTGACACTCCCATCATTTGACCCTTCGCCACGACCGACACTTCACCCCATCCGTCCTAACAATCGCCTCGACCCTTCTATAAAACGCATTGCCTCGCTCCACAATCGTTTCTTTGACGACGACAGATGGGATGGTGGGGCGACATGGGCGGTCCAACTCAAAAGGGTATCATTCAGTACTCCGTCTCTCCGTTCCAGCAGAACGCGATGAAAGGTGCTCTTCACTCTTACCTCTTCTATGGATTCAAGCGGATCATGCAGCAGGCTCCTTACTTTGCTATTCCTTTCGCTGCAGGTAAGTTCGACATCTCTCTTCTGTTGGGAGATTAGAATGAGGTTGGGAGTGCGTTGAGAGTAAGGGAGATGTACTGACATCGTTATTTTGGGTTGCGTTTTGCATAGGATACGGCCTTATTGCTTGGGCAAAGAGTAAGAACGCTTATTATAACTCTAAGCAAGGTCATTTGGAGCATGGTCATGATGAGTAGACTTTTGCTTTCTCGTTTAGTCGGCTTGTCTTCACACAGCAAATATAGCATCCTTTTCTCGTGTGGGGAATCAGTCGTGTGGATTTGTGGATCGATAGATGGCGAATGAGTGGTCAGGTTGGTACGCTCAGGCTTGGTCTTATTTGACGGAGCGTAGTGTCGTTTCGAATCTTTCGGTTTCGAACAAGCTCGTTCGAGTTCGACTGGTAAGACTTAGAGCGCAAGCGTACCTGTGAGGAGAGTCATGCTCAAATCCACTGCTTCCAGAACACTCGATCCGAACCAGGTGAGCACAGCACATGCAGCAGTGAAGACAAAAGCGTTGGTCAAGTCTCGGCTGTCAGGAAGCGGATGTCGAAGTAAGTAAGGTCCGCTCGAACACGGAGCGAGCGAGAGATGGTCATTGTTTGCCGACGAAACCTCGCTTCATGTTGCCATTGACTCGAGTCGTTCCGTCCTCCGTTTTGTAACGGGGACAGTCGGTGATGCTTCACTTGACGACGGCTTCGCTTCCACTGAGAGACGGACTAAATCTACCGCAGCTGCTGTTTCACTAGCTTTCGCAACTTGTGTCTTATTGAGTGGCATCTTGTTGATTACCCTCCGCTCCGACACGGGAGACGCTTTATCGTTGCAAGGAGCGACATCCTGGACTCTTTCTCGTGACATTCATTGCTTGCTTGAGCAGCGCCAGATTGGAACCAGGAGAAATTGAGACGAAGCACAAAGACCACCATGACAACACTCTGGCTGTCGAACATCGCCTTTTGCCACTGGCGCCACAACTCTCCTCTAGCACACTCTCACTTGATGTGCCGTCGCACTTCTCCGCACTCACAGGGAAACAGAACCGTATTCACACATGCAGAGCTAAAAACAATTGTCTCCGCTTGTTGACGGACAGGCTGACAGGAGTAGAAGTGGTGCCAGGTATCGTCGCCACACCGCAACTTCAATGCTCTATCACCGTGATATACTTTGCAATATATATGTTTATTGCTTTCAGCCTTTACAAAGTCCCAGTTAGTACAACGGTGAGTATACGGCACTTTCACTTCTTCTAACAAGATGTCTGGGTGAGCTGCTGAGATCGGGTTCGATTCCCCGCTGGAAACAACTCTATTTTTCATCCTGTTGGATTCAGTGCATCACTGTTCATGGTTATACATTTTTTTTTGCTGATTTGAGGTTCAGCCGTGGTCGACCATCTTTTGCTGTTGTCAAGGGACATTCGACAGCTGAAGAGATGCCACTCATGGTCTTACGGTGAGATGAAGAAGCCAATGAGAGCAAGGTAAAAGGGGGGGGGAAGTCAGAGGCTAGGCGGTGATAGGGGGCAAACTCAGCTTTCCAGTCTCTCATATCGATGATCCCAACTTTCCAGTCAACTTGGTACCGTATACTAACCTCCTAGGCGAACCCGCAATCATGGTCGCACCCAGCACCAGCAGGAATTACCGCAACTCACTCCTCCCCGCAGTGCATTTCGGAAGAGGATGCATCTCCACTGCACTCCGCAAGGCCATCGAGTGACTCAGTAACGTCACAGGTCGTAAAGCCTTCATTTTGACAGGACACTCGATTGCCATTTGAACAGAGGTTGTATCTGGAATCCAGTCGATTCTTATCTCTGAGCGGCTTTGTTTGCGGTGAAAGGAATTTCGAGGTTGGCGAGCATGTTGGGCGCAGCGTATGCAATCGCTCATGTGATTTCCGTGGTTGTGGAATGCATGGCAGTGAGTGTGAAAAGAATGCCAACGAGAACGACAAGTTCTTTTCAGGGAGACAAGAAATTGATGCTTCTAGTCATCATCGAAATCCATCCCCTCCGCCTTCCCACTCGCGACTTCCTAGCCCGCAGCGACTTCGATCTAGCATCTCTTGGCGATTCATCCATCTTCCCAGTCTCCTGTTCTTCCTGCAACGTCGTTTTCGGAGGCTCATCCTCCGCTTCCTCATCGCTACTTGCATCAGTACTCAATTTCAACTTACTCCCTTACTCGCTGTCTTTCCTGGTTTACTCGGGGTCTCCAACACCCCTCCGCTCATACTTCTCCTACACTTACCCTCCAGCGCCTCTACTACCAGTATTATTATTAAACGGCGAGCTAACGGGCGCTGAACTTGGTCCGGCGAGAGTTAAAATTTCCACAATGAGGACAAACATACTGCACCTCATTAAACTCCTCCTTCAACGCCAGTCCGTTGTGGCGGAAACAACGATTGCAGATCAAAGCGTATTTCTGTTCGGGACCTACGACGGAAGGATCTGAACCGAGGATTGCATCTGCCAGTTTGTCTGTCCATGTTTTCTGCATCGGTAGTACTGGGATTGAGGCTGTGGGGGGTTGTTGACGGATTGTTGACGCATGGAAGCCATTTTTTGTGCTTGGAGATTTGCTGCGGTTTCTGGTGTTGGCCGAACCTGCAATTCTCTGTTGTTGTTGTTGTTGGTGTTGTTGTTGTTGTTGTTGTTGTTGTTGTTGTTGTTGCTGTTGTTGAGGAGAGGGGTTGTTGGGAGACTTTGTCGGAGTGATATTTTTGGAGTTAGGTTTTCCTTTCATAGGTGTGGAAAGCTCCGCTTTGACAGGTGAAGCTTCATCATACTTATCCAGTAGCATTCGAAGGTGATCATTACTTTGTAGCTTTCTTAATCTCATCGATCTTTTCTCTCTTTTTGTCTTCTTAAATCGATCAAATGTTTCTCTTCTGCCGCTCCAATCCTTCCTATACCACCACCTAAACAATTCTCCTTGTTGAAATAATCAGCATGGGACTGCCTAGGACTGGGATCCAAACTAGATATGTTCTTGTTCCAACCCATCCCTTCTTCCCCGCTCCTCCTCCTGCATCCAAATGATGAGGTCGTTGCAGGGAAAGTAAACCGAAAAACCAACAAACCAAAGGTGTAGATGCCCAAAGGAGGAATGCTTGTAGGGTTAGAGTGACTGATGCACGTCGTTCTCGAAGTCGGATTTGAGTGAGACGGGATTGTACGGTTTTGGGATTTCGGTTTCGAGTCGAGACAGGACGGTTTCGTAGTCTGTTTTCGCGATTGCTGCGACGACCGAGAGAAGGGGAGAAAGGTGCCAGAGACTAGGGCGTTGAATATGCCCCATCTTGATGAAAGCGGGGGAAGGGGGATGGTGGCAAGGAGAGGATGGAAGAGAGGGGAGGGGAGGATGGAAGAGGAAGAGGAAGAAGGATTGGATTTTGGTAGTAGTGGTGGTCCCTGCGCGTGAAGGAGGAAAAATTCCACGCGAGTTGTCGTGTGTGTGTGTGTGTTGTGTTGTGTTAGATCTTTAATCACCACACATTAGTAGGATAACCCGCAGACAAAGAAATTTGCCGCATTCGTGTGTGTGTTGCAGCCACAACCGAGTGAGGCAACTTGAATCAATTTTAGCCATTCCACATCCAACACAGCTCCCTCTCGCCTCAACTGCGCCATTTCCAACGCTCTTTCTCCTATCCTCCGGCAAAGCTCAGTCAAAACATCAATCACAACAACACTCAATCGCGATCCACACACCAACAAAGGCTGAGTTTTTCGAGTTGAAATACTACCGAATTGCCTAAAGAAAGCACTACGAATAGAGAGGTATACAAGTTGCTCGCAAAGCATCAACGCCCTTTACCACAATCGCAAAAGTAGTGCAATAACGAACCGAGCTTACAAGAGCGAGATGTGAAATAGAGAGACAGATACGAGAGAGAAACAACGACAAGAGACACGATGAGGATCGCTAATGGGTACATCTTCACAAGAAGCGCACGAGACGCGTACAGCGCAACAAAGAGAGGGCTTACGACATCAACGAGCTAAGAGTGGAGCAAGCAGATTAGGATCGCTCACCGCGGAGACGGCGGGCAAGGGCGATGTCCTTGGGCTGGATGGTGACACGCTTAGCGTGAATGGCAGCCAAGTTGGTGTCTTCGAAGAGCGAGACGAGGTAGGCCTGCAGAGATAGAGCGAGCAAGGAATAGAACAGAAGGTGAGAGAAAGTCAATCATTTGTTCGCTAATGTGGCTGAGTCGAAAGAAAAGAAGGCAAGGTGGCGAGGTGGTTCAGTACTTACCTCGGCGGCCCTCCTGAAGAGCACCAATGGCGGAAGACTGGAAACGGAGATCAGTCTTGAAGTCCTGAGCGATCTCGCGAACAAGACGCTGGAAGGGCAGCTTGCGGATGAGGAGCTCGGTCGACTTCTGGTAACGACGAATCTCACGAAGAGCGACCGGTACCGGGTTTGTAACGGTGAGGCTTCTTAACACCACCGGCAGCGGGGCGGATTTGCGGGCTGCCTTGGTGGCGAGCTGCTTACGGGGAGCCTTACCACCGGTAGACTTTCGGGGCTGTCTGCTTGGTACGAGCCATCTTTCTGTTGATTTCAAGTCCAAGTGATGTGTGCGGGTCGAGTCAAGCGGAGGTGAGAGGTGGTGATGACGAGGAGAGTGAGGTGACGGCGGCGGCGGTGGTGGCGGTGGTGATGGTTGTGAGCGAAAAGTGATGGCGATGCGGAGAAGATGAAAAGGCGCAACAAGGAGCATAGCGGATGGATCAGCGCGGCGCAGGGTCAATTAAGCGGAGGCGAAAAGAAATTTCGGATCCGAAATGGAAACAGCGCGGAGCAAGTGACACCATCGAAAATGATGATATGAGCAGAGCATTAGCGCGACGGTGGCGAGGATCAAGAGTGAAGAAGAGGTGTTGAGATGAAGGGGAATGAGGCACGAGAGCAGAGGAAATGGTGAAAGGAAACACGAAATGCAGAGGCCAGGTGAAAATGAGGCACGAGAGCAGTGCGGGAAATTCAAGGGAAATTAGAACGCGCGAGCGAGCCGAGGCGAGGGGCGGTGTCAGAGAGTCGGAGAGACAGAGCAGATCGCCAACAGGGACAGGTCGAAGGAGAAAAGCGCAGCAAGCGATCACCAAGCAGCAACACCATCAACAGCAGAGCCGGGATCAAAACAAGGGTAAAGGGGGCAATCACAAAGAAGCAAGGAGATTCCAGAGGTCAGCAATCTGAGCCACCACCATCATACGACGAGACCACGCCAGTTCGATCTGAATGCGCTGAAAGCATGATTGAGACAGCGAGGTCGAAAGAGGAGATGAATATGGTGTGAGTACGTACGCTGAGTTTTGCTGGAGAGGATGGTTGTAGAGAGGAAAAGAGGGAAAGGTGGGATTGCAAGGGGAAGGACGCTTCTTTATACGTGTTTTTGGGAGCGAGCTTGACGAGCTGACGAGCTGAACGAGGATTGAGGATCGGAACGAGGATAATGCAGAGCGAAAAGCGTCGAGACAAAAGAGCGGAAAGAGATGCGGATTAGGGTCTGTTTGAGAGGCCGGCCGGCCGGTTTGCGTGTGTGGTGCGTGGCGGCGTGGCAAAGGGGCCAAAAGGAAAGGAAATTACCAAATCCAATCGAGGCAAGGGTGAGGAGATGACAAGGCCAAGGACACGTCGGATCGATGTTGTGCTGTGATTGTAAATTATGATTGCAGCAAAGGCGTCTTTTCGGCGGACCCGTTGCGGCTGGATGATGCGATGCGAAAAGGGCGTGAGCGTGAGGTGAGGCGAGGCGAGGCGAGGTTGAGGATGAGCGCGGATCTATTTTGGATGGAAAAGACGAGAGAGAGAGAGAGAGGGGTCTAATCTGGAACCCGCTCGCCCGCCCCGCCGCCAAAACGGAGAGATTGAGTGTGTGTGGGTGTGTGTGTGTGTGGGTTCCACTGGAGCGAGCACGAGCGTGAAGATTCAGGGTCAATGACCGGCGAAAGAGGGAAAGGAGAGCAAGTTGGATGAGCGAGCGGGACGAGATGATTATGCGTTGGCGTTGAAACGCAAGACCTCAACTGGGCTTAGAAAGCCTTGTTCTGTCCTTTGTGCGTTTTCGGTCAAGTTCATGGACCGTCTTCGCATTGCCTTTTCAGCGTCGCAACCTTTGCTATCTGTGTTAGAGCTTAACCCAAACGTAGGGCATGACTTGCTATCGATGATCAGGCATCTGACACACTTTCGGTATGTCCGACAGGCAGGGAAGAGGCCCAAGGGGGGAGAGGGAGAGAAAGAGGCAAGCAAGACTTGACACGAGACGAACACCGTCAAAGAC